GAATTGTTTATCAGAGCCATTAGAAATAAAAAATGGTGTGCGACAGGGAGATTCTTTAGCCTGTCTCCTCTTTAATCTAGCATTAGAAAAGGTAATAAGAGATTCAAAAATCAATAACAGAGGAACTATATTTAATAAGTCAATACAATTGTTGGCTTTTGCTGACGATATAGGAATTATTGCTCGAACACCAAGAGCACTTGAAGAGGCCTTTATTTCTTTAGAGAAAGAGGCCCTGAAGATGGGTCTAAAAATAAATGAAAATAAAACTAAATATATGCCTTGTACTAAAACAGCCCACAGGAGTACCCATCTAAAAATTGGGGGACATTCATTCGAGGTAGTGGACAGCTTCACGTATTTAGGCTCTGAAATAAATAACAGGAACGATGTAACTGCAGAAATACGAAAGAGAATCACAGCAGCAAATAGGTGCCTTTATGGATTAAGAAAGTTTTTAAGATCAAATGTAATCAAGAGAAAAACAAAGCTGTTATTATTTAAAGGCCTCATTAGGTCAGTTTTAACATATGCTTGTGAAACATGGACATTGACTCGTGCAGATGAAGAAATGCTGAGCATATTTGAGAGAAAGATATTACGGTGCATTTTTGGAGGAATTAATAAAAACGGTCAGTGGTTAAGAAGATCAAATTTAGAACTCTGTCGATCATATAATGAACCAGACATCATAAGATTCATTAAGGTCCAAAAGATAAAATGGGCAGGCCACTTAGTAAGAATGGAAGAAGACCGTATTGTGAAAAAGATTTTTGATGCCCGGCCGACAGGAACACGTAGAAGGGGCAGGCCAAATCTCTGATGGCTAGATACCCTGGAGAAAGATTTATCTATATTAAAAATAAAGAATTGGAAGTCCATTGCCAAAAGAAGGACAGCTTGGAAAAAACTACTGGAGAAGGCCAAGGCCCATCCTGGGCTGTCGAGCCAGTGAGGAAGGAAGGAGTTGAACATAAATAATCGTAAACCCAAAAATTGGGTCGGCTGTTCCACGACAGTTATAAAAAATTTCTCACCATTCAGCAATATTCTCCTTTACTACTGTCTTCTGTATCTATTCTAAAACTATGCAGTATTGATGCAATTATAATAGGTACCAAATTCACTATTATCGTACCCACATTAGTATATTTGGTACCTATTAAAACTACACCAAAAATATCCTAATACCATCATCTCCTTATACCAAAATTAATTAAGCATCATTGGCGTCGATAATATTATTGCGATTATTTACGTTTATCCTGAACAAATTAATACCATTTCTGAATTAATTTTGCTTTCTAGCATATAGCAGTTATTTTCTTTTTTTAATTAACATCTATTACTATAACTGAGTAAATATCACTGGCGTCAATAATAGAGTGATAACTTTTATTTTTCTCCCAAACGAATCACTATAATTACTAAATTAATTTTGTTTGGCTTATTTTTTTTATTTCATTTAGTAACTATTGCCAAAATTAACTGAACATCATTTTAGTCAAGAATTGTATGGAGATTTTGCAAGCTTCTCTCAAACGAATTAGTATTTTCTTAATTTTCCTTTTTAGAACACAGCTTATTTTTTTTACTTCAATTAATACCAGTTACTACAATCAATTAAGCAATTAATGGTATCAATAACCTGGTAAGCGTATTACCACTACTTCTCCACTAATCTTGCTTTTCAGTGCGTAGATATTCTTTCTATTTGAGCTGTTCAACAACGGTTAGAAAATAAAGTATAATACTGTTAATTTTAAATCAATAAGTTTGTTTAGACATGTGGCGTAACTACAACTACGATTATTAAACATCAATTCACTGGTATATAAGACATGCTAACTTGATTCTTTCACGAGGTACCTTTTGATAGATAAAAGTTAGCATGATCGATAACTCTGCCCTTACATTGGTGACCTCCGGACGTGATTTGAACACGCAGTAACGCCCACTTCAAACTGGTAACGCCTACCTCGTTGGATGGTCCACATTGAACAGTTTACTTGTGACTGCGGCATTATCCACCTCCTCTCGCTGTTGCTACTCAGTCTCGTCTCGATTAAACACAACGTCTGCTTGCATACACTAGACTGCTAATGGCAACACAGGAGCGACTATGACTGTGAAGTTAATACACCTCTCACATTCAGCACTTAAAAACCCGGTGACCTTAATTCCAGCTCTCCCGGTCTTTCACAAGTACAGCAACTAGTGGTATCTGTTCATCGAATTCTATCCCTGATAAAATTCTGGTAGGTGAGTATTGTGGCGTAACTACCACTATGATTATTGAACATCAATTCACTGGTATATAAGACATGCTAACTTGATTCAATCACGAGGTACCTTTTGATAGATGAAGGTTGGCACTGTCGATAACTCCGCCCCACAGACACCTCCTTTTTGTAGCATAGTTATAAGTAAAATAAGCAAGTGGTTTCAGGTAATTTAAAAAAAAAATTATATATTGACCACCCTTGCCGCGTTCAACTTGATCATTGAATTTATCTGATGTAACGACTAAAAAAAAAGATTAAATATTAAAGAGCGTGCATTAAACTAGAGCTTTAAGGTAGCAAACATCATTGATGCTATTTCTATAATGTTTGATAAAAAATTAGAAGGGTCATCAGTTTAACTTTAATGAATTGCTAAACTAATAAAAAAATTACACTTTTTAAACGTCTCATCCAAACGATCAAATTGAAATTTAGGAACGATTTTTTGGGTTTAAGGGTTAAAATTGTCCCTTTCATTCAAATTTCGTTAAGCTAGTATAAACATTTCTGAAGTTAAAAGTGTCGGATTCAAATTTATTAAAATTTTCCTAACTAAATAATTTTCAAAATTAGATTTATAATGATGCTTTTTGTTTTTGAAGCAGTTTATATACCGTTGGAATATAATCCGGCTCTTAAATGTTAATTTATATCTATGCATCCTTACATTAATTAAAATAAACATTGAAACAAACACAAGCGCACTCTTATACTTGAAATTAATTATAATTTGATATTCCTTACTGTTTAATAGAAATAAATAACAATTTACATAACAGATTAACAGATCAATATCATGACTAAATACACTCTGGTGCCAGAAAATGAGGCAAATTTGTAAAAAAAAAAGAAAAAAATTTTCAGGAAAAGAATAATAAAAAGTTTGAGCTCAAATTCAATCTAATAAACTTTTTTGTTTTCAAAATTAAGATAAATTATGATTAAAAAGAAAATATGTATTATAAATAGCGTTTAGAGAATCCTTTTGAATAGATTTTAAAAATCTTCACTTGTAACTGCTGCTTCCCCTACAAACAGGATCCCTAAAAGTTGATTTCAAGACAAGTGAACGATGATTTTATAAATAATTGATTTTAACAGCGCTGATTACGTTGAAATGTTTAGGACTGGTGAATTTGACTGTAAAAATTGGCTTATTTTATTAGAGACCCGCTCATTCAAAAAATACTTATAGATGACAGCAGTCTGAATAAATAAGGTACATCAAGCGTCCCTCGACCACTAATACAAAATTTAAAATGTTAGGCCGGTTGTATCAGTATTACAATTTTCAATTTAATAAAAAAATAAAAAAAAATTTAATAAAAAAAACATTCTTTGAACTTAATGAAGAAAGCAATTTAAAGCTCGCAAAGTAAAGCATAAAAAAATAAAGAAAAAGCTAATGATTGATTGATTTGTTCATTTACGTCGCACTAGAGCTGCACAATGAGGTATTGGCGACGGTCTGGGAAACATCCCGGAGGATGATCCGAAGACATGCCATCACAATTTTGATCCTCTGCAGAGGGGATGGCACCTCCGCTTCGGTAGCCCGACGACCTGACGCGAAGTCGAGCACTTTACGGTAGAAAAGTTTAACGAGGACCAATACCGCACACCCTCGGTCCCTACGCAGACTGATTCAAGTGGTCACCCACTCGCGCACTGACCGCAGTCAGTGATGCTTGACTTCGGTGATCTGCTGGGAACCGTTTCTTAACGATCAGTCCACTGCGGGACCAAAAAAGCTATCAAAACCTGATAACTCATTAACGAGAGTGGTCAAATTAAAATTATCAAGACCTCTCAAATTGTCGGAGGAAACGGGAGAGAGTAAATAAGGTCTATAGCGTTTTTGTTTCTTCCTCTTTTTAGTATTAAGTTGCAACCATAAAGGTGGGTTTTTTCAACATCATTTCTTACATTACACATTAAAAGTTGGGATTATGATAAACAAATAAAGAAAAATAAATCAAATTTTAAAGCTAAGGTGTAAAAAGTCACGAAAACTATTGCTATATATTAAATTAAATCAGATAAAAGCGGAACGAATTGTTGAGCCCATGAGAGAAAATGAGCGGCCTGAAAAAGCCAACTTCGTACGCAATCTCATTAAAGCAATTCAAGCAATGTAATTTTATCCTTCATTCGAAAATCAGAGTTTGGTTTACGGAAAAAAATATTCTGAAATTATTTAAAAACAACATATAAATAATTTAAAACTATAGATTTGTCAAAAAAATTGTAAAAATTAAATCAAATTGACTGAACAAATTATAGAGCTTATGATTACTTTTTAAATGAGATCGAGAAAACTAGATCCTTACATGATTTTATCAATGTTACATACTTAATGCAGTACTCTCCTTTATTTGAAATCATATTTCAGTGTGTGGAATGAAAAATTATTTAAAGCATATAAAAATAATAATTAAAAAAATTAATAAACATAAGTAAAAGATTTGAGAAATTCACAATATTGTTCTTCTAAACTTAAACAAGATAATTTAAGTTTAATATATATTGGTATTAACATAACGATGCAGACATTTTGTTTTAAATGATATTTATTTCACATACAAATGACAATGATATATATATTTCAGGAAATGACAATGATATTTGACTCAGAAAGAGCTTTAGTAAGTTCCAAAAGAGTGGTAAAAAACTACGCAAATAAACATGCTCCTTTATATTAAGACATTTTTTTTCTTCATATTCTGGATCTTGCAGACTTTCACCTCGTTGTATTGCAGAAGAGACTTCTGTTTCAAAACTTCTAATCTAAAAAATATTATATGTGTTATGGTATCAATCAGGTTATTTTGTATAATTGATAGTTATTATACTCGATGACTAGCAAAAGTTCTGTTCAAATTTACAAAATTGTTTGTTGTATTTAAACGAATAATTTTCTAACAGTTACTAAAGAAATGAAATAAACACCAAAGTGTAATTAAAATTAGCTGTACTCGGGAACTTAATTTCTTTGAAATAGATAATAAGTTGCCAACAGATCGCACTGTATATTGATGAGTGTTTTAAAAATATATAAATTTTTAAAAAATGCTGACTGATAGCGTTATGCACTGCACAAAAATAAAAAATGAACAAAAATGGCCGAATTTTGGCGCCGTATACCCCTTTAACATCACTGTATGTTGAAAACTTTATTAACGAATTAAGAAACTTAGGGGAAAATGTTTACTGTTGTTTGAAAATTATATAATTTTAAATTGGTTAATATTTGCTGTTATAAAATCAGTATTTTAGGCGGTAATAATGTGGATAAATATCTTGCTGTGACCATAGACACACAAAAAACAGATAAAGTGTTCATTATTTACAGTTTCTGTAGAAGAATGATGGTATGAAATGATACTTTTTTCCGTCACATGAAATGATACTTTTTTGCAAATAATATGCTATTTTAATTACAGCTGAGAGTTTCTAACAGTTACTCGTAACTCTTACTTTTATCTAAGCCTAGCTATAGCCATCGGTCTCCATGCCTATTTAGAATATAGCAAAAATGTTAATAAGGAGTTAAAGCCACAATTTGGAGAAAATGTAAATTCTTTGTGGCTTAATTTATTCCAATTCATTATTATCTGGGCTTACAAAAATTTGCAAAAAAATCAGAACAAGACATTGATTTTGATAACTTTTACTTTGTGGAAAAATGTCGCCGAATTGGCAAATTTTTTTACAAAAAATTTAATAACTTCTAAATTCTTTAAGTTCCAAATCTTAAATAATTCATTGTGGCAAGATGGTATAGATGGTTTATAATTATAGCTTTGATTCAAGTGTAAGACACTTAAACTGCAACTTTCCATTTTAAATAATTGGCGAAAGACATCAAAAACATCATAAACGCTTTGCGTGGTGCTACATATTTTTTGGTCAAAAATAAGTTCAGAAACAAAAACCGGTGAGTAGCGCGTAACAAACTGAGAAACCATATTTCAGGTTATGAATTCGAAGTGTACAATTTTAGACTATTTTCGAGAGGACTCAATATTTTTTACAACATGTTGTATGTGAACAACGTGAATAAAATACAAATAATGCCCTATAAGCAGACTGTCTATTTAACTTAAAAATTTCAGGCATTTTGGGTGAATATGGTTACGAGGCTATACTATTTCTAGTAGGGATATGTGGTAAATATTTAGGTAAAGTTTGAATATATATATATATATATAAAAGCAATTTACTTAGTTTGCGTCCTAAAATTGAAATCCTTCCTTTGCCTAGAAACTCGGAATAAGAAATGGGGTAAAAAATTACGAGTTACAAAAAGGAAAAAAATTATTTTAACAATAGGGTGAAGGAAATAAGCTTGCACGAAATTGAAGATGTGATGGTTAAGATGAAAAACTTATACGTTTCAAGATGTATAAGTTAAGAGAAAATAAATATTTAAACCCAAGAAGGAAAAAGGAACTAGAAAAAGGTCCTTAACTACGTTTTTAGAATTATTTTTTAAAGCAAAATTACTTTTGAAAATATGGATCAGTCACCAAATAGAAGCATTGAAAATTTTACGTCACCCATGCCCTCTAACGGAACTTCAAAAAGATCTTTTAAAGGATTTTGCTTTCAAATAACACTTATTCTGTCTAAAAAATTATTATATTTGCTTAGTTAGTATTGTTTATGAATTAAAATAACGTACCTTCCATTTGATTGATTCAACAAGCACAAATTTCCTTCAAATTTCATCTCTAAGCAGACATTTTCTAACAGACGGTTTTTCTTCCCACATTCTTGCTCCAACCTAAAAAGAATATATTCGCATGATAAATAAAAAACTAATTTATTTAAAATAGTTTCGATTTTTTAAGAACGGTAAGATAATATGTATCCCATATTTTGCACATGTCTAAATATGCATCTTAGAAATATTCACGTATATTGCTAAGAACAATTTTTTAACTTTTTAAATAATTTAGGTGTAAAAATTTGGTGAACAAAAAGTATGTTATCATGCATACAAAATCATCATACTATTAAAATTGAAAAAGTATAGCTACCATTGTTCTAGAATTTTATTTTATTTATATTTATATTGACAAAATTATAGCGAAAAATTAAGCTATTAGCAATTTTACAACAATAGTCTAGTGTTATATTTTTATCTACTTTTAGATTTTTAGTTCAAAGTCGTCATTACATTCGATGCACCGTTAGGGGCATAGTTGTTTCACGTAAGAACTCATACTTCATAGCGGCTTGAGTTTTTAACTATTTAATCAATAAATTTAAATCTAAAAGAAAAATGTTTTTATATTTTGACGATGATTTTTTTAAGCACATAAGATGCCATGGCAACTCAATGGATAGAGCGCTCACCTATTTATGAAGTGATCAAGGTTCAAATCCCAACGGTGGTTGCTTGATATGAATTCTGCTCCCGACTCACACACACCACAGTGTAGAGGTAAAATATCCTCAGTGATCAATAGATCATGGACTAAAGTCCCCTTTACCGTCAGCTAACTGTGACTGCTTTTCGAGGTTTTCATTCCCAGGTAAAATAAATGCGATTTTGTTCCATCAAAAAGTTCCCCACGAAGGTTAGTTTCCACCTAAATTCAGAATTGGGTCTGCAGTTCAACGCCGGTTATGAAATGAAATAAAACAGATAAGATCTATAACCATTGAACAACACAATAAAGTGTTCACCCCATGTAATATTATAGTTTGTTTGTTTGTATAGTTTGCAATATTATTGCTGTTTGTTGATATACCCAACATACAAGCTTTATTCTCGATCATAGGACATTTTCATAAAACTTTTCCTACTTTTTCTTTAATTTTATAATTTATATAAAAAATAATTATTAAATGAACACAATTTAATCGTAAGTTAAGAACTTGCGAATTTTTCCCTATAGGAGCAAATTTTGTTTTGTTTTATATCTGGTTAAGAACAGCAGACACAATTTTGAGTTTACGACTAACAGTGCTCAACTCCATAACCTTGTAACTTTGAACTCAACCCAGAGGGAAAGAGAACTCCTGTATCAATTATTGGCGAGCCTTTTTAGTGGAACTAATCCGAATTTACGTTACATTAAGAAGAAAACCACGAAAGCCTCCCAAGGTAAATCTTTCACTCAGAATATTTTAAGTCGGTACCGTGATCGGTGTATCCCGGGAGTAGAACTCGAATCAATCAGCCACCGTAGGGATTCGAGTCTGGGTCACCTCATTGGAAAGCGAATACCTCAGAGATACCGTGATTCGGAGAAACGAATTTAATTAATTTCTGTTTTATAACACTATATATAAAGTTATGTATCAATGCTGTTAATTTTGATAAACGGCCACTAATTACATTAATGATGTTAATTTTGATAAATGGCCGAAGTAATGACCACGCTGATTGTGAAAATTTCGAAATTCTTTTCAAATAACATAGAAAACACTGTTATACACAGTAGACTAATCTGATATAGATTCGTAGATAAGTATGAATCAAGGTACTTAATAATGATTCAATCCACTGCATTATTATAATTGCGACAATAATTTGAAGTTACAGACATAATAGCTCAATTTTGAGCCTATTTTTTGAGACTTTAATATCGAACAAAATTATCAAAAGTAAAAAAAAAATAATTGAAAAAGCATTGTTCTGTAGTACCTTCCTGTAATCTAATTGTTTTAAAAATGGAACAGGGCTTAGTTTAAGCACAATATAATACATATATTTTCATGGAAGGAAAGGATTTTTTTGAGATGTAATAAATTTTCTTATATTTCTTAGGGAACTTTTTAATGTAGATAAAAAAGAACTATTACATAAAAAATTTCTTAATAATTACTTGCTTGAGTGTAGAAAACTATGTAATACAAAATTGTTCACGGTTGAAAAAACTTTTGATTTAAAAATGAAGGGCTTTATCATGCTTTTGAGGCCCTTCCTAACAAATATTTATTTTTAGGATATAAATTGTATGCGAGTTTATAATTACACATCTTCGGTCATTATTAATATGATTTCTGCAATGTGTAATTTTACAAAAAATTGTAAAATTACAAAAAATATTAAAATTTTTAAAACTTACATTAATGAAATCAAATAGATGAGTTTAAAACGAACAAACTTATTTTCGAGTAAAATTTCCTGGAATTTTAATTATTAAAACAATCTATAATTAAATTCAAGTTAGAGAATAATATAAGCTTCAGTTTTGTACCTTCAAATTCATTGGTCTTGATACCGGTAATTGGTATTGATCATCATCATCATCTAAGCTCTCCAAATTTTTTAGCAGTTGTTCGTATATTGAAGTTTTTTTTTCTCCTTCTAATCTGAAAATATTATTAAAAATATCAAATTTTACTTTTGAATGTGAGTATTAGTTACATTCTGAAATTTCATTTGATAACTGTGATATTTCAGCAGATAGTTTTAACAGACATATGAATATATTCAACTTCAAATTTACTTTGTTAAATGAACTCAATTGTTTTTAACTGTTTAATGCTTGTTGTATGTTTAATTTAACTATTCATTCATTTCTCTAGCAATTAAAGGCATTAATTGAAGATTCAGGGTTGCCACTCAAATCTGGACATAAAATTCCCTGTGTTTTTCCTGTACATATTATGCACCAAATATTAAGAGGAAACAACAATTACTGTGCTCTTGTGTGAGATATAGTGGGCAAGCTATATTTATTAGTTTTAATTGCTGAAAAAACAGCTGAACATACTTAAATAATGCTATAGTAAATAAGATAGTTTAGTACAGCTGAAATATCATGGTTAAATATCCCATAAATTAAATTTTCAGTGGTCACCATTTTTTAAAAGACAAAAATAAGAAACAAAATTCCCTGTATTTTTCCAGTTTGTAAAGAAAAAAATCAAAATTCCCTGCATTTTCCCAGAAATTTTAGGTAATTTTTAAATTCCCTGTATTTTCCAGGTTTTCCCTATTCTCCCTGTGGAGTGGCAACCCTAAAATTTTACCGTGAAGCGTTATTTACGTTTAAAGAAATTATAAATTTAAAACCTTAATTGGGAAAGCAACAATAGAACATGCATAAAAACCCAATGTAGACGTCAATTGCAGAGTACTCGAATTAAAAACTGGAATTTAGGGTTCGAACCTGGAGTGCGTCAAAAATGCAATTCAGTCAATCAAACACAATTCGAGATACTTTCCTACGAATAAATTCGGCCGTAGTTAGTTTCCTTTTTTTTTGTAAACATACTTTCTGGTCTTGAAACTTAATTGCTTAATCTAGGTTTGCAAGATTTCAGATTTTTATGCTACTTTTGAAAGCGTAGGAAAATTTACAATAAACAGATTCTTCCGCGATATATCTTCATTTCAACTCTCCATATTTGATACTTACCTAGATAAAATTTCATCCAATTCTTTCTCCTTGTTACGTAGCTGCTGATGAGAATGATAATCTCGCTCCTCTCTCTTACTCATTTGTCTTCGGGAAGCATTCAGTTTAGTTTCATAAATAGTCTCCCATATCACCTTCAAATCATAAAAAAAAATTTCATTATAATTTTATTTTGAAAGAAACTGAAAGGGAACTAATTTTTATAAAATGAGTATATTTTTAATTATTCAGATATATAATTATGTATTATATTCCAATTTCATATTGTTTCTACTAATTAATGAAAAATAAAGCAGGTAAGGTAAAATAACAGGTAATGGAAATTTACTTAAGCATGCACTAAAGCAAACATTTTGATTTCCAACTAAATTAATTTTGACTTTTGTTACGCATAAAAAAATTTTCATTATAACTTTATTTTAAAAGAAACTGAAACGGAACTAATTTTTATGAAATGAGTATATTTTAAATTATTCAAATATATATAATTATTATGTATGTTACATAACAATTTCTTTTTGTTTCTACTAATTAATGAGAAATGAAGCAGGTAATGGAAATTTACTTAAGTATGCACTAAAGCAAACATTTTGATTTCCAACTAAAAAAATTTAAATTAATTTTGACTTTTGTTAGCAATAGAATTTGCTACGCATAAAAAATTTTTCATTATAACTTTATTTTGAAGGAAACTGAAACGGAACTAATTTTTATGAAATGAGTATATTTTAAATTATTCAAATATATATAATTATTATGTATGTTACATAACAATTTCTTTTTGTTTCTACTAATTAATGAGAAATAAAGCAGGTAATGGAAGCTTACTTAAGTATGCACTAAAGCAAACATTTTGATTTCCAACTAAAAAAAATTAAATTAATTTTGACTTTTGTTAGCAATAGAATTTGCTACGCATAAAAAAATTTTCATTATAACTTTATTTTGAAGAAAACTGAAACGGAACTAATTTTTATAAAATGAGTATATTTTAAATTATTCAAATATGTAATACAGTGGAGCATCGTTTATACGACGATCACTTATACGACGTTTACATTTATACGACGTTTTAGTGTGGTCCCAAATCATTCCTATTAATTTTAATGTAAAAATATATCGTTTATACGACGCACAGAATCGGTTATACGTCGGTTTTTAGATTTTGTTCACGTTTATTTAATTTTTTATTTTTCCTTGTGTATTTTAAAAAAAGGCGGCATTTGCCAACATGAATGATACAGAAAAGGGTGCCTACAAGAATGCTTGGATGACGACCGTAATTTTTACTAGATGACTGAAAAAACTAGACAATATTATGAAGAGGCAAAAACGAAAAACTTTGCTATTCATCGACCAATGTCCAGCGCACCCATCGATACTAATTATTTTGGAAAATGTAAAAGCTCTCTTTTTTCCTGCAAATTGCACAAGTGCGTTTCAGCCATTAGATTTGGCCTCGATTAGAAATCTAAAATTGCATCATAGAAAGCAGTAAGCTCAACTCGCTATTCAAAGCATTGTAGAGACTAATAGCAAGAAAATATAATTAAAGGTAACATACATTCAAATTGCTCACTGCAATTTTTCTTCTTTGGTTATTTGTTTGTTTTGCTTTGTCTAATTTAGAAATTTATGTAAATCAACACGTTAAACATTAAAATGAACTGAAAACAGAGTTAGTTTCAGTTTTAGAAGTAAAAATCGATTATACGACGTTATCGTTTACACGACGTTTTTCGGTGGTCCCTTCGGCGTCGTATAAACGATGCTCCACTGATATATAATTATTATGTATGTTACATTAAAATTTCTTTTTTTTTCTACTAATTAATGAGATATGAAGCAGGTAATGGAAATTTACTTAAGTATGCACTAAAGCAAACATTTTGATTTCCAACTAAAAAAAATTTAATTAATTTTGACTTTTGTTACGCAATAGAATTTTTATTCTTAAAAAATAATCGTGATTATTTTTATCCTCTTTGGACCCTGCTTTCAATATATAGTTCAAAAACTGGCAATATTTTCATCAGTTAAGAAATTACTTTAATATTAACTATTTGCTTTGCATGTGTTTACAAAGAATTTGTCCACGTGAAAATATAATTGGATTTACTACTGTTGGTCGGAGTTCTTAACTGCAACGAAAAGTCATAAATAAGGTAAGAAATTTCATTCAAATGAACTTGTAGAATTTTTTGTGGCATATAAATATCTCAAGGATTGAGTCTGGTGGATTATGTATTAGAATTAAAATATAAAGAAATACTGTATAAAAGTATGCAAAATTTACTAAAATATGAGTAAAAGCAAAAATATTTCAACTGACTGGTTTTTCGATCTCAAATGCTTGTTCCACAGCAGCTTTCATCTCATGCTCCCCAGCTGAATTCCATGCAGCTTCAGTCAATCTTTGATTTAATTCCTCTTTTTCTCCAACTATCTATAGAGGGATCGTCATCGATTAGATTACAGAATATTTAGAATTGATGAAAATGTTTTTTTTTTTAACAATAGATTAAAACCGAAAAAATTGCCAGCTGAACTGTAAATTAGATACCCGCTCACAGAGAGAACAAGCGAGAAGAGGCATACGAGGAGTGAATCCTTATACGTTTGGACTGGCATGCACATGTTATCACTGTGCATCATTCGGGCCAGTTTACTCTCATATAGGAAATTCTTTAAGCAGAAAAGAGCATACAAAAATAAAAATAGTGAGATAAACAGGAAATGAGTCATACGACTAATTCAGAGAAGTTCAATTAAAATACAACAGATGAGATTTCTTGGCCATTTCTATAGATCTAATAATGAGATGCCAGTAAAGAAAATAACTTTTCACGAGCCAGAAGGAAAATGAAAGAGAGGCAGGCTGCGTAAAAGAGGGCCAGATAATGTAGAAAAGTGCCTCAGCAGTTAATAGATGTAGAGCATTGTTTTTAGATCGATGAAGCTGGATAAATCTTCTTGAGATAATCGGCTGTAGCGCTGGTAGTAGATGAGATAATAAGAAGAATGAAATAAATGTATATCAGAATATTACGTTTGTGTCCAATAAGATAGCATTCAGTTGTTTTCAAAACTAATATAATAATTACTTTTGGATGATTTTAAACCCAAATACTAAGTTTTAGTAGCTTTTTAAGAGCCTGTAGATTTTTATTTTTTACGTGAGATAAAGTTTTTTTTAACCTTTCAATCTTAAATTTAATTTTCTAAATTTACCCGCTAAAATTTAACGAATTTAACTATAAAAAGCACCGACACTCAAAGTACTAGTACTTTTCACTGTAAATGCTATTTTAACAGTTAAGTTTACAATTAAACCATAAATAATTTACATCTCTTTGTTTTACCGTAACATTTACACTGTTACATCACATCTAATTATTTACATCTTAAGAGAAATAGTTTTTCATACCTTCTGATAATCATATTTAACTGCAGTCAGTTGTTTTTTAAGCTTCAAAATATCAAAGCTCAAATTTGAATTCTTAAACAGCAATTCTTTTGTTGCATCTTCTTCTTTTCTTAACCTAATAATAAAAAAGAAAATTAATTTTTACAAAAAATAAATTTTAAACTGAGGAATAAAATACATATAAATAAGACAAGTTAGTTTGATGACAAGTTTCTATTTACGTAAAGCATAATATTTAAACTACTGATCAATATATATATATATATATATATATATATATATATATATA